TGTAAGATTATAAATTAATTTCTTTTTAAGTTTTCCTTTAACCGTTGAAAATATATTTTACATTTTCAATAGTGAATACTTATTAGTGCAGCAGAGAAGAGAAGAGGATGGGAGGAGAAAAGAAAATGAAAGAAAAAATTAGACTTTAACACAGAAGAAAACTTACCTAAGTGCCATTAAACATTTTGGCCAAGGGAATTCTTATAAGGAATACCAAAAGATTTTCAACCAGCAGGAACAAAAGCCTGACAAAGCCAAAGGCAGGTTTCTTTATGATGTAATAAGATAATTTTATCTTCGTAATTAGCAAATTGATGTTGCTAAAATAGCACATAGAAAAGTATGCTCAAATGTTCCCCCAATGGGAACAATGTGCATGATTCAGACTGTGAGCAATGGCCACATAGGATGACTGGGAAAATGCACACAATTGCCAATATCCTTGGGTAGAATGTGTATGAATCCTTTACCCTCTACTGACTCGTGTCTCTAAGATATGTTGACACATTTATTTGTCATGTGTCTTTCCTTAGCCTGCAGTGTGGTGTAATACAAAAAGCACTAGGTTCAAAGTCAGAAGATTTAGGCCAGGCTCTAATGCTTACTAATGCCATACGCATGCCACTTGACTTTGTCAGTTTCCTCATCTGTAAACTGGGGCTAATAATACCTGCACTGCTTGCCTCACAAGTCTGTTGTGAAGATCAAATTCTATGTATTAGTGCTTTGTAAACTACAAGAGTTAAGCATTCTCTTACTGCAGGTTTTTCCATCTGGGCTTTCAGTTCTACTTGTGACATTTTGTTTCCTGAAAATCTGTTCAGAGCTAGACTAGATATTTCACTGACCTTCCTCAAGGGCAAATTCCTTACCCTCTTGAACCTCACTATCTGTAAATGATGACTTGGACTAGATTGAAAGGTCAAAATTGTATTGAACAACAGGAAAAATTTTTAAGTAAATGTATTCAGAATTTTATCATGTAAAATAGACAAAAGTAGGTGCTCTTAGTTGAAATGGTTGAAATGGTTGAAGCTGGAATGAGGAAACTCAGAGTCCTGCTTAATTAGACATTTTGCCATGCTATATCCCACTTAGGCAGTTACTGAGGTCCTACACAGCAAACATCAGATCCTCCCCCCTCTCACCTTCTACAATGTTGATATTATGGTTCCAGCCCTTATATTTCTTTGATTCCTCAAGAAAACTCTATTATAAAGGGGTAAAGAAAGCTGTAGTATGTTATAAATGGATAGATGCCCTGACATTGAAGTCTTGTTAGCTGGCCAACAAATTTGCTGAAATGTAGGCAAGTTAGTCTAAGCAGATAAGTACCAAACTCTTCGTGATGGAAGATGTCTGTAAGAAGATACCTGATATACCTCAGCAGTCCTCATGGAGCAGAGAATTCTACCAGAAACTACAAAAGTAAATACCGAATGGGCAATTCTCCAAGTTGCTCTCCTTTGAAACTGTTTTCAGTAAGAATGACTCAGAGATGAAAAAGTCACTTATAACAAAGCAAGTAATGTAATGCCATTTCTCAATGCCCCAAACAAGAAAGATTGCTTAGGGAAGTTGGCTTCCAGATACACAGATCATATAATCACAGAATGTTAGACCTGGAAATAATGTTAGAGAACAACCAGTCTATTTTACAAATGACGAACCTAAAATCCAAAAAGACTGTGAGCTGCTCAGGATTAGTTTCATTCAAGCTTCGCTAAGCAAACATATGCCAGGTGGTAAGGATAGGAAGGCAAATAAAACAGGATTCCTGTCCAAGTAGTGAGAGAAGACAAAAAAAATCTAGAATTACAGTTAGTTTGTTGCAGAACCAGGACTGAAACTCTGTGTTCAAGTTCTTAAACCAGTGCTCTCCCATCACTTCACACTGCCTCTCAAACTAAAAGGCTTGACAAATTAGTAGTGGGGAGCTATGGCCACACTGATCTAAAGAGGTATTAATATCAACTAAGGCTAGATTTGGGGTACATAGGTACTTACATTTCTTGAGGACCTATGGGTAATAAAGAGGGCTCTATGCTACATAAAAGAAAATTCTTACAAAGATTTTTCATTAATACTTATAAGGACTTCTTAGAATGTTGAGGAAATCATGCATGAAAAAATCATGAGGAAATCTACAAAGAAAACTAAGCATAGCAATGGCCTTTGCTCCAACTTTTGAAGAAGTTGCTGTCAAGGTCAAACTCATGAAAAATTCCATTAGCTACTGGCATACTTTTCAACCTACTTAAGCAAATAAGGAGATTTGAATTCACTATCTTCATGGGCTTATTATTTTTCTTTACTATACCAAATAATGAAAAAATTCACAAGATTTCAAAGATCTACACCATCATCCAGAAAGAAAAACAAAAACCAAACACCAACCTAGGGTCACACCTATAAAATATTATTTCTTTATTACTGGTAGGATTCTAACATGCATTCTTTCATATCAATTCCTGCCTGTTGTGTTTTTTCTAAATTTCATTTCGGTTTTCAATGATAATGAAGTAAAGCAAGCACATATGTCTAACAATAAAACTTCAGGGAACATCAACATATCCCTATATTTATTTGATAAAAATCTAGCATTAGTTGACCTGAAGTCAGGCTGCTTTACAAAGGAACCCATCATCTATCCAGCCATTTATCCATTCATCTAGCAAGCATTTACTAAGTGCCCTCTACGTGAATACCATTCAACCAGGAGTTATATGGAATACTAAAAGCATAGAAAGTATTTCTCAAAGTGTAGTTCGAGGACACACTTGCATTAGGATCACATGGAGAACTTGCGAAAAATTTAAGTTCCTAGACCCCACTGGCATAAATCTTTTATTTTGGTTATAGTTCCCCATTGCAAGCAACAGACACCTGCTTGGGCTTCCTTAAACAAACAAGGAGCTGATGGCAAGGATATCAGGAGCTCCCAGAACTGACCAGAGATTGGACCAACGAAGCTTTAGAGGAACCAAAACAAAAATCACATTGCAGGAATGATGTGGTCTGCATGATAATACTGTAACTATCCCCAGTTTTAACTTTGTCATTGCATAGCTGCTCTAGACTGAAAGTTCTGAGAAAGAGCCTGTGAATGATAGAGCCTAAGACTCAGGTGCAGGTGACACTTCCTAAGACTGTACAGACAAAGGGAGATTCCTCTAAAGGGAAATTAGGATGATAATGAGAGGTGGAGTTAAATGTGGGTTAGTCAGAACTGACAAAGGCCTGGTTGTGTATTAAACTTGGATCCCTGAGAGTTAGGCTGGGGGATTTCTACATTTTTCAAAAAAGTTTCTCAGATAATTATGAAGTATTCTAAAGTCCTGAGAAATGGTAGTAGAAAGGATATGATCTATATCCCAGAACTGATTTAAATCAAAGTGGAAAGCAGAGATATTTCTGAAACTGAAGCATGATTCCAGGATCCAGGTATGATGTCATCTGCCTGTAGACATTTCCTTCCATATGTACCCCTTGCCCTCATCAGCCATTCATTCCATCAAAAATTAGTATCTTTATAACAAGAGATATTATGTGTAGAGTCAATTAATTGAGCATAAGTGTAAGCTCATATTTTTATGGAAAAAAATTGTATAGATGCATAAAAGCATCTTTGGAAGGCTGTACACCAAAATGTAAACAATGAAAAAGAAAGAACAATTCCAAGAAAAATATAAAGATGGCATGACAGTTATATAGAATCTATGTTAAAAAATACTAACTAGACTCCTTTATTTCCAGCTCTTATGTACACTTTCTGTAGATTTTACTTTTCCTGGAATGTGGAAAAAAATGCCCTAATCTAGCCTACAGGGAATATAATTATTCATTGTTAGTGACCATTTTCAAATTTTCACATGACTGGTAATTTTAGACTTTTCAGAACACTCCATGTCAAATTTTTTAAAGTTATAGAGATCTTCATCAATGTCACTTATGAATCTCAAATAAAGAGAAATGGTCACCAACAAGACATCACAGTGCAGTTAATACAAAATATGTTTATTTATATTTATTCATTCCAACCTACGTTTGAGTGCCCTCTACATGTATAGTTTTTTTTGGGGTTTTTTTGTCTTTTATTTTTGAGAGGGCATCTCTCATATTTAGTGATCAAATGGTTGTTAACAACAATAAAATTCTGTATAGGGGAGTCAGCACTCAATGCACAATCATTAATCCATCTCAAGCCTAATTCTCGTCAGTCTCCAATCTTCTGAAGCATAACGAACAAGTTCTTACATGGTGAACAAATTCTTACATAGTGAATAAGTTCTTACATGGTGAACAGTACAAGGGCATTCATCACAGAAACTTTCGGTTTTGATCATGCATTATGAACTATAAACAATCAGGTCAAATATGAATATTCGTTTGATTTTTATACTTGATTTA